GGGGGAGGGGAGCTGGTGAGGGCGGCAGGACGGTTGGGGGCCAGGGGTGCTATGCAGACGGAGGCTCCCCCGGGGAAGTGGCCATCGAGTGGGAAGCCCCGGAGAGCTGTTCCCATGGGAGTCGGGGGTGAGGAGGCTCAGGCTGTGCGGGCACCTTGGAGGGCAAGTCCTGCTGGGGTGGGGGGCGGGACAGAACAGACCCGGGAGAGCACAGCCCCAAGGAGGGGCATTGGCGGGGCTGCCGGCTGGTGCAGGGACGGACAGATGGACACACAGCCACCTTTACTTGCAGGCCAGGCTGCAACAGAGGGCCACTCGGACACACAGCCTTGAAACACACACACACACGCACACACACACACACACACATACACTCGGCCCAATACCCTCGGCCCAATGTCCAAGGTACAGATCTGCTTGGACAGGTCCCCTGCACTCAGAGACAGGCACACGCACCCACACACAGGCACCCACCCCAGCCCACCTGCTGGGATGGGACACGCGTGCACGCACACACACACACACACGCACATGCATGGCTCGCACGCACACGCAGGTGCACAGTGTCCTGGCTCCCTGGATGCACACGGCACAGGGCCCAGGTGAGCCGCTGCTGCATGACTCAGACTCCAGTTCCCGGCAGCCGGCCGCAACCGGGCAGCCTTCCAGCAGCGGGTCAGACCGACGCGGCTTCACTGCCGGGAAGAGGCCCTGGCAGCCTCCTGCGTCTCCAGCCCATGGTTTGATGGGCACACCCTGTCCTTCAGGAGGGGACACGGGCATGGTCTCACCCCTCCTGCCCTGGTGTCTTCTCTCAGGCTGGGCAGCAGTCCTGGGCCAGAGACCCTGCCCCCGCCTCCCCGGAGACCTGCCTTGCTCTGCCCGCAGTGAGTCAAGTCCGGCGTCTGTGCAGGTCTGTCGGGGGTCTCAGCCCGCCCATCTGGCTGTGGGTGCCGGGGGACACGGGCAGTCTTAGGAGTCCTTGGGGCACAGCTCTGTGTCCCCACTGGCATGTGACCTTGGTGAAGTTGTGGGGACCCTGGGCCCCCACCCAAATGAAGCAGCCTCACTCCAGGTGACCAAGTGGCACATCCTGATTGTCAAGCAGGACGCACGCCCAGCAGCTCCGAGG